TGTTCTTCAATGCGTGCACTTATTCTTCTGTTCTGTTCTGTTTTCTAACTCAATTTTGTCTTTGGGGTTTCTTAGGATGGTGGATATTTTTCGGTTTGTGCAGAATGCTGTCATGATGTTATGTTTGTGGAGGATTTTGCTGATTCTGTCTGTGGTGCCTTTTATGTATGGGAGGAGGGCTTTTCCATTTTCTTGTTCTTTGTCCTGGATTTTAGTGTGGGTTTCTTTTTGGATTAGGTTGGTGATCTTATTTCTTTGGAACCCTAATCCCCACTGGGCTGGAGGCTCAGGGTGGACCAGCACCCCCTGGCTAAGAGAGAGATCCTGTTCTGGGATATCCTCCACTGACGGAAGACGGAGATGTTGATCAAGTCCATGAACCACAGACGTCTGGGCAAGTACGGAGCCACCAGAAGGACCTCTGCCTCTTCTGCTAGAAGCTTCCTGATCACCCTTGGTATGAGGGTGAGCAGAGGGAAAGCGTACAGAAGGCCCTGAGACCAAGGACAGTGGAGTGTCTGTCTCTTCGGCTCCCAGTGTCTGAAATCTGGAGAAAAATCTGGGAAGTTGAGCATTTTCCCATCAAGCGAACAGGCCCACTCTTGAAAAACTGAACCATTTGGATAGCTGGTGGAAGAGGTTTGGATGGAGACGTCATTCCAATTGGTTCACGGTGGTCTGGCTCAGCCAATCCGCCTGGTCGTTCTGGAGATATGGCTGGAAGTCTGCAAATGACCACCAATAGGAAGGTCAATTGGCTCCCCGGAAGGGTCTGCTGTCAGACCTTCAGAAAGGCCTCCTGCCATAAAGTTTAGTTCTATCTCTGTCTCGGAAGGCCCATCTACCCTGGTATCTGTCTGTTCGCTGGGGATAAGGTTGCTGAAACTGGAGGACAGGGATCGCCGATTCAGTTGGACAAATGGGCTGCCTACGAGAGTAGGGCAAAACTCTGTGGTCTGCCCGTCTGGAGTTGGACTGTAGAAACCTCTTCTTCTCCTTTGTCTCCACTAACACAGGATCAAGGGCCTCACCAAACAGGTTGGTCCCTTTAAAGGGAGCCGAGGAGAAATTCTGGCTAGCAGTTGGCGGAGCGAGATAAGGGTAGCCCTGTTAAAAAATGATGCCGATATAGTCTCTCTGGTGGTCCAGGCTGATGCCTGATGCGCCTTGCAGAATGAGGTTTTCACTTTCTTATCCTCAACTTTCATCCCCTCCATTAGATCTGAGGGTATGAGGGCCAAAGACGTTACAGTGACCACCTAGGCATTCACCTTGGACCATTGGAGAAGCTGCTCTAAGTCAGGACCAACTGAATAAAGTCTTTTATCGCTCCCACTGGGGGCAGCCACTGACCCAGGTTCCATCCATTGACTTTAGACAACGTCAAGGAATAGGTATGGGGAAGGAACCACCTCATGCTCTGGTGGGGGTTCGGTAAACAACTGCTAACTTTGGTCCAATGACTCCTTGGATCTGAAGAGGAGCTAGCCCCCCCCCAGTTTTGTGATGGACCTGGCTTTATACAGGAGGGACTTGGAAGAGCACAGGCTTGAAGAGATTTGTAAAGGTTGACCTATTTGCAGTCATGCCCTTATCCTCCGATAGGTCTTGGTCAACAACCTCGTCTTCCTCCTCCCCCACCAGTGATCCCTCACTATGCACTGATGGCCTAGAAGAAAGAGGTTCCTGCAGGGATATCAAATGTACCTCCCTCTGGGCCTGCCTGTCCAGAGATGGAGCATTCTCAAGTAAGTGTGGAAGCGAATGGCTCCTATACTGAAAAGCAACTTCTATCCCCTGAACAATGTCCTCAGAAATATAGTCCCAAAGTTCTTGGGTTAGCCCAGGGACTTATGGGGCGAGGGAGGTTGCTGCCCCAGCAACAGGTGTCGCAGGGAGGAGAAGATCCCTGGGGGGTAACGGTTAGGTTAAATTCTGTTGATCTGCTCAGTAGAGGAGAGATTATTAGTCACATCCAATGTGCTCAGACTGAGTTGAGAAAACGAAAGCAGTTGAGCCAGGGAGAAGTGGCCAAAGCTCTTCTAACAAACTCAGTTACTGGGCAGATGAACAGAAGTTGAACCCACGCTTAGATTCTCCAAGCAGTGCACAGGCGAATGAAACATTCACTTCATGTGTATTAGCTCCTCCTAGAACAGAGATTCTTAAATTGTCCATCCAATTTCCCTTTTTCAGTCTGGAATAATGTTGTGACCTTAACCCTAACCCTAACCCACCAAAAACCAGACAAACCATTACAGCAGTGATTATTTCGAACAAGATCCTCGAATCACAATCAATCGATTACAAAGTGCTCCATTATCTCTAGACTATACCCAAATTATTCTCTTGGAGTAATTATCTTTAATTTAAGGACTACTGTTCTAGAATACTACTTTTTCATAACAATGCTTACGCTAGACTTTCCTTAATCTGTTTAAATATTCAAGCAAATATGTGTTTCAATATTTGAACAGACATTTGCATCAGAATGTTGTCAGGTAGAAAGAGAATTTTATGCTTGTTTATTAGTTAATCCAATTTACATAGCTGTCCATCTCACAAAACAAGGGAATCTGGACAGAATAAAGCAAGGCTGAAAGAATTAATAAATACCTAAAACAATTATCCTTGTTGTTATTATTAAAAACTTAAAAACTATAGAAACAAAATTAAAACAAAGAAATGATAGGCAGTTAATATTGAAAAAATCTCCCTTTTTATGCCTCTGTAATCCCATACTATTGCAAAATGTGATGAAGGTCGGTTTTCACATTGTTATTTCTAATAGGATTACTATACTTGTGTATGACTTATGTTTTGTATGAGCTGGACCCAAATTGTGTTGCATCAGAATGCAAACGCTTAAGACTGGATTTAGTGGTCACTTTATTATTGTAAATGTGAACATACATAATATAATAGAATCTGAACATAGCTGACAGTTGTATAAGAGTTTAAATCATCTCAGTGTAAAATAAATAATGTTGCACAATTTCAACACCTCCCTTTATTAATATGTTTTAGAGAAACAATGGGAGTATGCAAATGACATAAATTCGCTGTTTCTAAGTCATTCACTAATCTATGAGGAAATCTTTAAAAATGCTATTGAAATGGCAGTTACAAATTATTTGCCAATCCTCCTACTTAAAAGAGGTATATGTCCATATTATAAAGATTAGGATATGCCTGCATTATTTAAAGTGAGGAAATAGAAAAAATGATCTCAATTAATAAAGAATCTAAAAAAATAATAATTTTATAGAAGGAAAATTATTGGATTCAAATATAAAAGATCATTCCTACTGCAAAATTCCTAGATGGATTTTTAAGGAAATTAAAAGGGCTAGTGAACTGTCCTTGGCAAATATGCTTTCCAAAACTCATTATGACAACTATTCTCATGTAGTCTGACATAGTCCTTTTGGGTTGTGAACTTAAACTTTGGATCACTGGTAGTAGGTACATGTTTTTATATTTATCTACCATTTTATATTTATCTTTTTATACCATTTTATAAGCCCAGAATCACTTCAGTGGTGGGATGGGAGCATGGGTGGCATTCAGCCGGTTCACACAAACCAGATGTTAATTTTGCATCCAATTTGCTGAAACGGCTGTTGCAAGGATCGGATGATCCTGCCCACCCTTCCCTTCCTCTCTCTGGAGTCTCCATGTAGGGCTCCCATGGAGGATCTGGAAGGGAGAAAAACAGGCCTCCAGGAAGTCTGGAAACGGGCCCATTTCCAGCCTCTGGAGGGCCTCCAGAGCCCATTTTCCAGCCTCCAGAGGGCCTCCAGAGCCCATTTTCCAGCCTCCAGAGGGCCTCCAGAGCCCATTTTCCAGCCTCCAGAGGGCCTCCAGAGCCCATTTCTAGCCTCCGGAGGCCCTTTTCGCCCTCCTGGAGGCTTGGGGAAAGCCTCCGGAGCCTGGGGAAAGTGAAACCCCTGCTCCTGCCAGAAACGGGGCAGAGAATTGGTTGCTAACTTTTTTCAATCCCACCCCTGGATGGGAGCATTTACATTATATATAATAGACAGTGTTATTCAGTTACTTTTATAAATATTTGTCAGTGGCATTAAAAAAGCAGCATAAGTGAATGCACTGAAGTAACTCAAATCTTACCTTTTTCTGACGTAATTTGCTTTCATTTCCTGAACACGTGCTGCTTGGAATTATTTTATTATTCTCAATCTTATTTTGTTCTTGCTGTTCATTTCTTTTTGTCACTGAAATATGATGTACTGCTCTTGTCTCCAGGTTTTCAAAATTCAGTATTTCAGAGTCACTAACAAGAATGCATTTGAAAAAAAAAAAAAAGATTTACCGGTTTTAGATTTAATTGTCTATAACTGACCAATTGTAGAACAAATAAAGTCATTGCTATAACTTCTGTACATTTAGAGTTATAGGAAATACACTTCTGCAGAACCCACATTGAGAACCTTCTACAGCAGAAGACATTTTTGGCAGGAGATGCATCCTATACTTCATGCTCCTGGGCATGGTTCCCTTTTCTCAGTGATTCCTAGTTATCTGTATGAATAAAAATATGCAGAGTAAATCATCCTGGATAACACAAATATAGGAATAATTATTTGAAGAACCAAGTTGTGGGTAAGGGCTATTTCATTGTGCTATCCATGTATCCCAAACAATGGTGATTAACAAATTTTCCCATAGAAATGGGGCAAGTGATCTTCTAAAAAATAGATAGATGACAGAACTACTTCTCCAACAATACATCAAACCATGCCTAAACATCAAGATAGTACTGAATTGATGTAACACTGTGAAACTGTGATCATGCACAAATTATCACAAGGTTTTACATGTTGAAGAATGAGATTCATATCGAATAGGGAAAAGTTGAAGAAGAAGGTACAGTTCCTGTAGAATATGCTTTGATTTGCAATTGAATATCTTAGCATAAGTAATGGAAGTCAACTGAGGAAAAATTATAGGGAGACCACTGGGCCTATTAACCTAAAAATCAGAAAGCATTTAGAAAAAACATCAGGTTTCAGCTTATATATATGAAGCAGCATATAATGGAGTTGGTAGGAGATGGCTTTCCAGTTCAATGTGCTGAGATGATGGCAAGAAAGAAAATAAGTATATTTATAATGTACTGGACATTTTTGAGGTATCAAACCAATGTTTTAATTTCCAGATTTCTTAGTTGAAAGTGTTGAATGAGGTATTTTGCTTTCCTGAGCAGTATTTGTGACACTTCTTTAAACAGAATATAACACTTGTTGTCCCTCACTCTAAATAAACTTTTCAGGTTTTCAAAGAAGGATGCACTGAAGGAACAAATAATGTCTAAATGAGCACTGATGAATTCCTACGGTGAAGTTCGTTTTGAACTTCAAAAGGGTTCTCTATATAAGGTCCATTATCTCATAAGATGATTATATGATCTTATCACTGGAATGTGTTCAAGGACATATATTTAGAATCAGAATGAATAGGAATAATAATAAGCTATTCTATTTTTTTCTACAGCAGTTGAGCAGCTCAAAATCTACATTCTCTGATCTTCACATTTTCTATTCTCATTTTTATGTACCTTTCATACAAGTTTTATAGATTGTAATGCATGGGAAGTCACTTGTGTGTTTTAGCTATAACACAATAAAATTAAGTTGATCAATACCGTAAGTGAAAGAAATATACAAAAGAAGTCAAGAATGTGAAAAAGGAAGAGGAAATGATGTGCACATTCCACAATGCAGATGCCATCCCTCCCAGACTACTGCTGTTTTGTCAGCAGTCCAGAGATGGGTTGCTCCTCGTTCGGGAGAACCGGTAGTGGCAGCGGCGGGAGGCTATACCCACCTGCCGGATGTTTCTGCATATGCACAAGAGCATCGTGTGCACGAGCACGAGCAAACCGGTAGCACTGGTATTTGCAATCCACCTCTGCAGCAGTCATATTATTTATGCAAAATGGGGATAATATGAATCTAAAGAGGGAGAATGTAGCAAACTTTATAAACAGGCAATGCCTACTAGAGGAAGGGAGGGAGGGGGGAGGGAATATAGATTAATGTCAGTTCAAGCCTTCTACTATAGTCTGAGTAAATAAGAAGCAAAAAAGCTATTGATCCTAGGAATGTTTGGAATTCTGAATGCAGGAAAGAATGAGCTCAGGAAAAGAGAACCTCTAAACTCTAATCTCCTCATAAAAAGAGACCATAGAAGGGTTTGTATTTTTTTTTGGGGGGGGGGAGATGGGAATGGAGGGGAGTTGAGAAATGTTTTCAAATAAGTCTCCTGTCTACTGTGTGGACAAATACCTGCATTTATCTTGGCAATATTTCAGAAGTGGTTTGCCATTGTCTGCTTCCCAGGGCTCAGAGCGAGTGATTGGTCCAAGGTCACCCAGCTGATTTTGTGCCTAAGGCAGGACTAGAACTCCCTAATCTCCCAGTTTCTAGCCTGATTCCTTAAATGCTATACCAAACTGGTTCTCTCATGGGACGTTAGTCTTCCCTAATATGTACTGTAACAGGCTTTATGATTTATAGAGAAGGCGATCATAAAAATAAATTAAAAATAATAGCAGGCCATAAAGGAATACTTTGTTCACTGATCAGCTGTTCAGCTAGTTGGGCAGCTGAAGCACTGCAACTGGTGGAAGCAATGAGGTCTAGTAGCATTGGAGGCACATAAGTGCATATTTTGGGGCAGAAACAGTGAATTTATTGGCTTATTTAAAAAAAAAACTCAGGTAGACCATGTGAAGCCTGCAGAATATATGTTGTGCAGAACACTATCCATTCTTAGGACCAATTCAAGTTTGGCAATAATAAATTCAGCACTGGTAGCAACAAACTTTTAAACCTATATCACTGATGGCTCTATAGACAAAATTTCACAATAAGAAAATCTGGTTGCAAACAATTCATTTGGGAAGAAGTGAGAGTTTAGAATAATTCTTATTTTCCTTTTTCTTCAACTACAAAAACCTGAGGGATAAGTTTAGAGTGGGTGGATTCATTATAGCAACAACTGCTGAAAAACTATGCTTGGTACTGAGCTTGCTGAAATGAGCATCAGGCCCCTGATCATTAACGATAATTGGTTTGTCAGTCAAGCTGATAGTGACATATAGACTATAGTTTACAGTGTAGCCTTGACAATAAGCTTCTAATTACAAGCCCTTTATCCCAAAGGAAAGTTAACTGGAGATATTATCAATTACAATTAACCTATTTCATACATTTTTGGCATTATGGATGACATCTCTCTTCAAGGTACAGAAGAGAAATTTGAATATCCAGCTTTAAAAAACATGTCCCAAACTAAAATTTCATGGGCACAAACTCAAAAGTAAGTGGTAATGCACTATCAATCTGCTACACCAAGAGATGACAAACCTTTCAAATACACTTACAAGCAGGAGCAGGGATATGTTAGAGCAGATCTGTCAAACTTGTAGCCCACAGGCCAGATGCATCATGGCTGGCCATGCCACATCCGGTTTAGCGAAGGGGGGGGGGAAGTCACGATACATCACGTGAAGACACCAGTTTTGACACCCCTGTGTTAGAGGCATTAAAAGGTGTCTCTCGAAAACAGTTAGTAAAATGGCCAACAAGAGGGGATTATATTCTACGTTTAGTTTTGACAAATGTGAATAGGGTATTAGACGCCGATGGGGAAAACTTGGGCTCCAGTGATCACCAATGTACCATAATAGTTTGATAATATTACCCAGCAAGAAAAATGAGTCCTAATCCCACTATATAAGGTTTTAGTCAGAGACCTCACTTAAAAAAAGATACCAATTGAGCAAGTCCAGAAACAGGTATTAAAAATGGTGCAAGGTTTGAGAGACAAAATATTTCTGAATATGTACAGCTTAGAAGAGAGAAGGGAACGAGAGGAAGAGGACATGACTGAAATCTTTAAATATATTAAGGGTGTGAGTAAGGTTGTAGAAGGCGGTATTTTCAATATTAAGCAAAAATCAAGAACACGTGCATAATCTCAAACTGATAGGAGGGACGCTCAAAAGTAACATTAGAAAGTATTATTTCCCAGAAAGAAGAGCGGAAGCCTGGTAGCAACTTTCAGCAGAGACAGTGGGTGAATCATCAGCAACTGAATCTAAACATGCTTGAGATAAACAAATGCCTATCATCCAACAAAAATAATAATAATAATTAAAAACAACAAATTAATTAAAAAGAAAAAAATAAAACACTCAAAGGGCAGATTTGATGGACAATTGAGACTTTTTCTTTTATCAGTTTTCTATGTTTGTGTTAATTTTTATTATATTATGTTTTATTATAAAAAGTGCCATGGTGGTACAGTGGTTAGAATGCAGTATTGCAGGCTAATTCTGCTCACTGCCAACTGCCAGCAGCTCAAGTCTCACCGGCTCAAGGTTGACTCAGCCTTCCATTCTTCTGAGGTCAGTAAAATGAGGACTCAGAGTGTTGGGGAAATATGCTGGCTGCTTAGAGAGGGTTGTAAAGCACTGTGAAACATATATAAGTGTTAATGCTATTGCAATTATATTATTTACCTTTATATTAAGCCTTTTTCCTTAATTTGGATTATTTTCATGTTTTGTTTCTCTAACCACAAATAAGTTGCAATAGCAAAGAAAGAATTTATGGTTGTGGAGTCAGTAGTTGATGCCTAAAAATATCTTCAAACAATTGTGTCTGATCTTATATTATTCAGAACTTTTTGTGTCCACTTCCCTTTTTTATGCTGGAGCAGTCATGAGGAAACCCATTTGAAACCAATGATGGTTTATTCATGGTTGTGCATATTAAGATAACTATGGACCAGGTTATTTGTTTAAAGCAAATGTTGTACAAATCAACTTATCATAAATTTAAACTATAAATAGCTGAATTTAACTAATATACAAAATGTATAAAGTTCTACAAATAATAACTAGTAAGTTTTCTTTCTTTCTATCATACAAAAGCTAAATTATATCCAATTTTCCAGATATCATTAATTAATAGCATTAATTAATCAATTATTTAGTAAATAACACAGTGGACAAATGATGATATACTGTATAGTTTAGATGTTGGACTACTACCAGAGAAACCCAGATGAAAGTCCATCTCAACTGTAGAAGCTCACTGGATGATTTTTGAAAAATCAGTCATTTTTAGAAAAATCTACCTGCTAGGGTTTTTGCGTGAAGCAAAATGGGAAGAAAAGCTATTAATTCAGTTATTTTAATGCACTATATGAGCTTGTAAGGTGTTGAAAGTTATCTGATTTTGACAGATAAATTTTAAATCCATAAATCTGCATTCATTCATACATACTTTAACCCCTGAAGAAAAGGTAGGATATCAATCAAGCAATTAAAAAGTTCAGTACAAGGCCTGTGATTGTCACTGAATTATGTATATAAAGTAGTATATTATGTATATAAATTCTATATAAAGTAAAATCAAGTAAAAGATAAGAAACTTTGTACTCATACCTTATGAAATCACCATAAAACACCTGATTTCAGTCTAGAAATAAGTTTTGTTATGTTGGGGGATCTAAGGAACCTATGCAATTCTACTTATAGTTACAGAACTAATTTTCAACTATCATTCAATTACACTCAGTACAATGACTGTGCATAAAACATACATGAAATAATTAGTGTGGATGGTCCTTAATTTAAAGGACACAAAACAGCTTGTAGACATCTGGTAGCAAGCTGAAATGGGTCATTTAAAATTTATCTAACCAAATTAAGGGGAAAAGTGTTTCTCCTCCTGGGTCAGCATGTCACAAGATAACTAAACTGACTTCATAGGCATGCCTGGGAATCCTTAGCTGTCAGCAGTGAATATGCAAAGGGCCAGCAAATTAAATCAACCTGCCAAACTGTCAATTTCAAGCCTCATGACTACATGAAAATAGCATCACTAGAAGAAATCAAGCATTGCCTTCTTTTGGGTTTCCTGGCACCTATTCAAATACTCATGCAGTTGTGGCTAATTTTGCATGCAAATTTCAGTCAATAAACTCAGAACAAGACCTCCCAAGATATTTCAAAGACTCTGACAGTATTTTTTCTGCATACCAAATCGACAGTAGTTGAAATTCAATTTCTATTTGCTAGTGTTTTACATATGCACAGTGTCCCTTCTACAGAGCTAAGTTAATGAGAGCTGTACCTGCTTTCACTCATATCTTCCCAGCCGTCCTTACTGAAGTTCTCAAGTGCACCGCTCATATCCTTGATGGACTGATTGCAAAGAGACTGATGTTCCACTAAGCTTTTTTTCTTTGCTGTTTTCAATTTAACATTGACACCTATATTCTTACACCTACATTGTCCACAAGCTGCTTCCACTGTGGCTTTGGAGTTAACCGTTTTTGCTTTGTCCCATAAGCTCTGCAATTGTTTTACTTGAATCAGCAAATCCACATTTTCATTTTTCAATAAATTTCCTTCGGCCACTTGCCTCTTCAGAGAGGTGACCTCTTTTTCCAATTCATCTATTATTAACTGGAGCTTTGATTTGTCCTTCTTTGCTTCTGTGATCTTTTCCACCAGTATCTTCAGCTCTTTTTCTCTGTCTTCTGCATCTCCTGTATGCTTTTTAAGCAATAGTTTCAGCTCACTTTTGTCCTTAACTAACCCTTTATTAATTTCCTTCAGCTTCTTGGATTCTTTTTCAAAGCCCATTATTCTTCTTTCCAATTGTGAAATCTAAATGCAATACCAAAAAAAATCACTTTTAATGTTTTATGTAGAGGCTGGTCTTTTCATTATGACTTAATGTCCTATATAATCTCTGGAATTAAAATTGCATCCAACACAGCTATTTCAAACAAAGTGAAAAATAACTTCAAGGTAATGAGAAGGAATGCATTTGTATTGCAATACATCTGTTAAAAAAGGACAGATAATAAAATAAATTAAAATCCCCTACATAGTGACACAAAAGGGATATGAAATAAAATACATATTTATAATAAGATTGTGATTATTCAACTTTTTAAAAAAATAATAATTATGTAGTAGTCACAATTTTGGCTTTGAGTTTGTATCGTGATTTAAAACAAGTTTGTTATTATAACTCTGTATTTCAGCAGAAAAAATGGAAAAAAGTTGCTTATGACTGATTTTCACACTTGTGACCATTGCAGCATCCCCATGGTTTACATGATCAAAATTCAGACATTTGACAACTGACTCATATTTATGACAGTTGAAGTATTTCGGGGTCATGCGATCAGCTTTTGCGACCTTCTGACAAGCAAAGTCAATGGGGAAGCCAGATTCACTTAACAACCATGATACTAATTTAACACCTGCAATGATTCACTTAACAACTGTAACAAGAAAGGTTGTAAAGTGAGACAAAACTCACTTAACAATGGTCTCACTTAGCAACATAAATTTTGGGTTCCATTGTGGTCGTAAGTTGAGGACTATCTGTACCATTTGGGGGGGGGTGTTAAAAAAAAGGGACATTATACCAAAACATCGATAATGAATACTAAAATTGGTGAGGGAGAAGTTACCACATTATGCAAAACTGATATGGTCACAGGAACAATATCTAAAGAAGAAGTATTCATTCTTGTTTGTGATAAAGCAACTAAGTGTTATGTCAATGTATCTTTGAGCCTCTGCTGTAAGCAAATTTTTGAATTTGGGCTTAAGTAACTCAAGCACTGAGATTGCTGTGCAAGAAAAGAAATTTCACACCTTAGGTAAAAGATACCATAATTGAATGTTCTTCATTCCAGAATTTCAAATTAGAAATTGCTCTAGAAGGAATTAATAAAGCTATTACTTCCTACTATATTCCAGTAGTTTGTAAAAGACATCTTCAAGGGTTCTGTATTATGCCAAACCATTCTTGACAGTTATGTCATTAAAATTATGTATCATAAACTTCTTCTATCCCACGGGTGACAGCTACGACATCCTCTATCACTCAATTTGTTTTCCATTACTCACTCTATCTTAAGATAAATGAATGTGAGCATTTCTTGTTCTCAGTTATTACTTTAATATGTTTGTCATTTAGTAATAATGAGATGAGAACCTTCATTACCTAGAAATATGGCAATATATACAATCCCCTGATCTGCTGAAAACTACTGTACTTACAAGCTATTTTACAAATATAAAAATAAATGGACACAGCTAAATTCATTAGCTGGATGAGTGATTTTAAATCAGTCACTTCCTCAGTGAGAGAGAAAACAGGAGGCAGGAATACTAAGTTCACTGCCTTGACTTGATCTATGTATCTGTGTATATATGTGTGTCAATATATGTGCATAAAAGTGTGTGTGTGTGTGTGTGTGTGTGTGTTTGTGTTTATGATTGGTTGCAGTCAGCCAGATGGCTGAATTTGGCATTTTTATCCACCTATCGTGATCTCCCAAGGACCTGGGAAAGGCAGATGTGGTTGTTGGACAGTGTTAGAAGTATCATCATAGGATGTAAGCTGTTACAAACAAAACTGCTAATTGAATGATGGTGATTTTGTCAGTGTTGATAGTGTTCAAGTGATGCTTTCAGTTGCTTTGGGATTGCACCTAAGGACCCAGTAACCATTGGTATTGTCTTTGCTTTCTTTTGCCATTTCTATTTGCAGGGCTTTGTATTTTGTGATTTTCTCTACTTTTTTCTCTTCTTTTGTATTGCCACATCCACTCTCAAGACTTTCTCATCAATAACTGTTAAGTCTGGGATGTTGTTATTATTATTTTGCCACATAAGATCTTCTCTATTCTGTTCTGATGTATTTTTTTAAAACCTACATTAAATCTTTTAAGAAAAAGGGATGATATGCAGAAAGTTGTTTTCAGGATTATTTGTATAGGAAATAAAATATAGGTTAAAACACACCTTGTTAAAAAGCAGCTGTTAATAGACTGCTCTACCTGAACAAATTATACATACTGTACTTCTTCTAGTGATGTGAAAACCTAATAGAAGGGAATAACAAATCTTGTTTGTCTACTTTTATTCCTGGATACTTGGATTTCCAAGATCTGATCTTAATTATTTGTTAATACAGTGCAAAATAAGTACAGACCTATTCAATGTTTTTTTATCTTTAAAGTGAGACACACTTTATATTCCTAAAGCCATATATTTAGAATAAGAGTAAGAATAATCCGACTCTGAGAAAGTGCACATTTGTTTTTCTGCACAAACCATTAACTTGAACAGAGCCAAATATAGAGCATTGATTTCTGACACAATTTTGACAGAATTATTTTGAGTTATGAGTGGTAATTAAAAAAATAACACATGGCTTATATTCATCAATGTTGTCTTTTAATATATGATTCCTTGTACTGAAATTGAGATTTAACATGTGGAGCTCAATATCTTACTGATTAGGATACCTTCTGTAATGTCTGTGCTGATATTTCTTTCACATTCTTCTTTGGAGTACTGTGGTTGACCTCATCTTCTTCACCAAGTTTATAGAGCAGTTCTTGAAAGAAGAATAAATAATACATTGTAATTCCAGTAAATATTCCAGTAAAGCAATACTAAAACATTTCAAAGAAATGAGTTCATTGACTAAGAATATAGTGGTATATTTTATTGTCAAGCCATTTGGTCAGTTTCAAATCAGTGACTCTTTAAAAAATTGTATGCTATACTATAATTCTGGTAGCATCATCATGATTTTTCTCCAGCTTTTCAAAGGCACATTATATATATAGGATGAGAATGCTATACTTCTTTTTGCATCTTCAAATTTTTTTTAGATTATGCATCCTTGCTACAGAAAGAGAATTTACTATCTTTATATCTACATTGTCAGTTTTGTTCTTTGATTTTTATCCCTTTTAGGAAGAACAGAGTGCCAGGTAAACAGAGCAAACAAACTTTATGGACCACTTATAGTGGGCAAAACTTTAACTTCTTGTTTTTGTAAGATCAAATATACATCATACAGAATAAATCACATATGACATTCCACTAAAATGTTAGAAATTTAAAAGAATTAAAACATTAAAAAATCAACTGGTGACTAATAATTTATACATTGGTCTGAGCCTGGCAATCTCACAATCTATTTCTCCCCAGACTAGATCCAAACTTGAAATCTCAAAACTGACTTTGGCCAAATTTGGCCAAAAAGGATATAATCTGAAATATGAATTCTACAAAACAATAATTGTTCCACCACTTAACTGCTATAGGAAAATTATTTCTGATATAAGTTCTAACACTTTTCATAAATCATTCCAATTAACTATCTCCTGTAAATTGTCAGGAACAAATGAAAATTCATTCCCCGCAAATACACACCCAGTTTCATTTCTTAATTGCTGCACCCTTAAATCTGCAGTTTGCTTAAAAGTTGCTCCAATGTTTTCCACTGAAGTCAGTTCACATATTCAGCTGACTTTCATAAAATGCTCAACAGCTAACAATGGTGAAATGGTAAGTAGGTTACATAAAGGAAAATAATTATATCAAAATTGCTTAGAAGTTGTAAATATTAGGAAATCACATTCTTTATAAAATATACCTATGAATATGCGGGAAACATTTCCTTTAACCATCCCATTCAGCACTATAAGTAGACAGAGTAGGTCAGGTATGATCTTCAATTTACAAACAAAGCAGAAGTGGAAGAAAAACATGCTACTCTCTGTAGGTTAGCAATCATCTTGGCATAAACAGTGACTAACAAGTTTGTTAGACTGAATTAGCCCTTTCTTTTGTCTTTGGAACTTGTCATGCCCAATTAAAACTTCTGTGTTCGTGAAATAAATAGAGCAATACTCTAAAGATAACAGAAGAGAAAAAAATTGTGTAGCTGGGGAATATGTACCTTTACCTTGATATAAATCTGTTTTCACCCATGTTAGTTCCAAGCATAGTCCCTTAGCACAGTGGTACTACATACATTTTCTACTTTTAATCTTTTTCAAAATATTCACTCATTTGAATATCAATTGTAGCTTTTACATCTACATTTACTTTTCAGAGATTTTCTTCTAGTTTTTAATAATAAACTGATCAAAGCATTCAATGCTGATCATATAACAGAATTAGTTATATGAATTACATACAGCTACCATATCTTAACAAATACAGTATATTTTAGGTAAGATTAAAAAAATTGAAAAGGGATCTTTATATTTTTCCATGTTCTAAAATATTTGGGACAAAAAATGTAACAGACAGTGGCATTCATTAAAATGTTCATTTCAGTCATGCAAATAGTTTAAATTTATCTGTCAGAATCCATACCATATATGGTAACATCATCATCATCATCATTCCTAATTTTTTGGATGAATGCTGCTATGAAGAAAGGCTCTACTTAGCAGTGTAATTCTGTTTAAGACAACATTTCTTCCCTATCTATCCAGTTCTCAGAGGCCTTTCCTCTGAGCTATACAACAATAAGCTCGTTTAAAACAAAGAGGACAACTTAAAAAAAAAGACACGATCCTTATGTGATGTTATGCTAACTCCCCAAATACATATCAGACTACTTGAATTTGTGATTACATGATATTATATGACTTTTTTTAAAAAATCACATATTTTTGTATTATTAATACTAACTCTTGCCTATGGCAGCAAAACCGAAAAAATTACTAATCAATGAATCTGACCTCAAAAAAGTACTAGATTCAAATGAAAGTATTGTTTCATAATACTCAATTGCAGCCATTAAGAAAAAAATATGAATAGCCATCTTTACAGGACCAGTGTGATTTAGTTTATTATTAATGTAAGAGTCATAGTGGGGCAGTGATTAAAATGCAGTATCGCAGGCTAACTCTGCCCACTACCAGGAGTTTGATTTTGACCAGCTCAAGGGGTACTCCTTCTGAGATTGATAAAATGAAGACCCAGGTTGTTGGGGAAAATATGATGTTGTAAACCATCAGCAGAAAGTGCTGTAAAGCATTATAAAGCAATATATAAGTCTAAATGCTAAGTGTTATCTACAGTATATAATAACCAGAATAATGAATCAAATATGAAAGTGAAAGAGGTTCTGAAGTATATTGTTTGTTCATGCGTCAAAATGTGTTATCATTACAAAAAGTAAAGAAACCATGAATATGAACTGTAAAATAACTGCTGAGTTCATAATTTGGATTATAGATTTATAATAATTTTTCATATGTAATCCATATACATAGCACTTACAGACTTAGCTTAAAGTGTACAAGTATAAGTAATTTTTCCCAGCAAGAACTGGGACCAGGAACTCTGTCACTAAACAATTTGGTCATAAGACATGAAGTCATGTGACCACACCAACTTATGACATCAGTTCCAGCAGTCCCAGTTGCCATCATTAGGCAAAACTTGCATATTCTTAACACCCCACGGTCAACATTTGTGACCTCCTGCTGGCTTCTCCATTAACTTTGCTTATTGAAACTTGCAGAGAAGATCGCAAATGGCACTCACATGGTTGAGGATGCTGAAAATATGGTAATTATGAACTGGTTGTTTGAATAGTGACCACTTGACCACTGCAATGGTCACAGCTACAAGGACATTAAGCAAGGAGTACTTGTAGATTGTCATGATAGCTAAATCAAATTTACCTTCTCTTTCCTGCTGAAGACACATATTCAACTCTTGTATTGTAGCTTTATCTCTAGAGGCATGCACTTTCATCTGATCCAGTTCCTCCTCCAAATTCAGACTAGAAATACACATAAAGAATTCAGTGTTACATAAAAAGAATGCCAAGAAAAGGTCAAATAAGACACATGCTACAAAAGTCGCAGCAGAATCAAAACTGTAGTACTAGGTTTGATCGATGCAATAAATTTATATAATCAGACTTAATATGGAAAATAGATAAAGAAAAGAAAGATATACAGTATTCCAACTTAGTGATACAGAAGAGTCAATATTTTTATTGGAGAGGATGGAAGGGAATCTGTAGCAATTCGGAAGTTCTTGCATAATTCTTTGAGACATATCCTTGAAGGAGTGAAGGAGGGCAATCAGTGCTTGGGGGACACAATTTCACAGCACATTACAGTAGAATAAAAAAAGATCTGGTAATAATAAAATGGGAATGTAAATATGCCTGGGACTATATCAGTGACTGTCTTGCTTCAGGGCTAATGAAAAACCTAAGTCTTTAAAATTTTGTGACAATACTGTAGGATCTGTCTCTTCAGCACAACTACAGAGATTGTCTGTTGTCTCGTTTCTGAAAATGACTGTCTTTTATAGATGGTACCTGAAATGATCTAACTATGTCATATTTTGCTGGATGAGCAAAAACAACTAGAAAAAAGTGGGTGCCCAAATCTTAAACCATTAAATGGTTTATAGGTGACCACCAACATCTTCAACTGTTCCTGGAAGTACAAGTGTAGCTAGTGGAGTAGAAGAGTTACATGAGCAAAAAGGAAGTATTGATAACTCATTTCTAGTTCCAACAGATTCTGAGTGATCTCCATGTAGAATGTATCATAGTAGTTAAAAATCATAAGTGACTAAAGCTTGAGTAAAAGCTTGGATTAGAAAAAGTACTTCCCAATCTTTAAAAAGTGTGTGATTTGCCATAGAGTGAGTTATAATCAGTATATGATGATGCTTAATTGTATCTCTCTATCTCTGGCAACCTAAGGGATGCTCTTGATGTCTTGCCCCAGTGCCTAGAGGCTGTGAGGGTCTGGAATTGGAACAACAGGCTCCAACTGAACCTTGACAAGCCTGAGTGGCTTTGAGTTTTAGGGCCGTCTGAATCTGGGATTTTAGCAACTTTGGTATTGAATCAGTGGTGGGATTCAAGGAATTTAACAACCGGTTCTCCAAACTGCTTAGAAAGTTAATAACCGGTTCTCCCGAATAGGTGCGGACTGACTGAATCCCACC